AAAAATAAAAAAGATTAAGTATTACAAATTACTCTAACTAGCATACAATATTTTATATACCTTGCTGCCTCCGAAAGTCACAGATACAGTTCCGTGTATGGCATAACCAAGCTGAGTATAGAGACATCTTTGACAATTACAGTCAGTGATCTTTATTTTACTTATATCAAGGGCCGGTTCTGCTAGAGCCGATCCCACCAACACCAGCACATATGCCACATATACTACACAAAGTCCCATTGCTGAGATAAAACATATTACATGCATAAATGTTTTGTCAACATTATGTCATTTAATTTGTTGATTTGAAATAACGTTTGGAAATAATAAAAATAACGGTTTTATATCTTAAGGTAAGTTAATAATTCGTTATAAATTTGTATTGAAAATGTACTGGATATGTATTTGTTTATTAATAAATGTATTATAAGACAATGTCTTACCTTGATAAGGTTTTGTCGTTGTTTTGAAAAATATTATCTCTCTTGGCATTTTATAGTGCAATATTTACGGAAGGCTAATACAAAAAAAAATTAAAGTTTAACTGTTTAAGGCTATTCGTTTAGTCGGCATAGTTTTGTTATTCCGCTATATCACAGTATAAATTTATACCATATGGTTAGTAAATAATAAAAAGGTACAACTAACAAAAGAACTTAGATCTTAAATACAAGCAAGTTACAAGCAAAATGATTTTTGCAAATTATTAATTAATTCTTCTTTTGCTTTTTTGTTGACTTATCTTTTACATTTGGAACAGCCCACGAACGTGTGTATAAAACAGTCAAAACATGTTGTTTTGATAATTGTAGAATCTACAAATTTTGGTTGGCATGCCATAGCTGTGCGGCTCACTTCTCTTTCAAAATGAAGTAGTAAGAGAAAAACAAATTGTTGTGTTTGTAAGTACTTACATGTCACAAATGATTCATTTGGTTGCTTTTCTTATCTTCACTCTAACCTTACATAAATACAAGCTTAAATAAGAAAACTTGTGTCTGTAAACTGGTTCACGAAGACATTAAATTAGGTTATAAATTAGAATCATTCAATTCTATTATGTGCAATTAAGTTTTCAGTTTTACTACATCAACGGAACATAGCTATAGACGATGGAGAATCTGGGTAAATTTGTTTGTTTTGTTTTTAAAACTTTTGTTCTCGTTTTCTTTCTCAATTAAACTTAGGTCGTCAAAATTGATGAGATAAAGGTGTCTAGTTTTCAGGACACCAAAGAAAAGAGTGGGCTCAAACAGTACAACAAAGTGGAGTTCTACTACCAGCAATTTTATTTACAAAAAATCATTAGAAATTAAATATGAACATAAAATGGTATAAATTAAAAGGACTGTCGTATTTGAAACCGTAAGGAAAGAAATTGTACAAAATGTACCATTTTGCCATCTGCTAAATTTCTTCGAGTAACTGTCAGCCTCTTTTATACCATTCAAATTTCACTTCGAAAACAAAAAATTATTTCTGTCACATTCGTACCTTTTAAACGATTTATAAAAGGGAAAGCAATTTAACAATTTGCAAGGGGATATCTAAACGATTTATAAACGGGAAAGCAATTTAACAATTTGCAAGGGGTATATCTTTTCTGAAGATAATGATATACAAGCAAAACTGATTTGTTTGGTATGGTTTCCATTTTTAAAGAAGACGTGAAGGTGTCAACAACAAGGGAAGGAACATAAAAATCATGTGTATGTTACAGATTAACAGTTAGAGTTGTTTTTGTCAAACACATGAAAGGAAATGGAACATTGCTTATGAACCTTAACGCTTTAAAGACATGGCATAAATACCGATAACAACTTTCCGGCTAACTTGGGGGCTTGGTCGTGAAAAAAGAAAATCCGAGACAGATTTGAAAATTTACCAAATAAAGAATTCGAGATTGATCATATTAAACAGTTATTGTAGCAAGCCCGCCAGACTGTAATATTCGTGAACTTAAGCAGATTGGTAATATTTGGTACATCTTTAGAAAAGATAATACTATTAAGAGACATATTTTACAATTAAGTAATAGAAAGAGCACCGAAACACGAGGCTAGGGGGCGTAGCCCCCGAGTATTAATCAGATTGCCGAGTGTTTTGGTGTTCTTTCTCTTTTGTATCATAGTCAAACATAAAAGCACGTTCCCTGTTGTCACAATATGAAACCCCGGCAAAAATGAACCAATGAACGAACATCTGAATATGACATTTCTGTCGCTTTCCCTTTCTCTGCCGTCACAATATGTAAACCCCAGCAAAAATGAGCCAGAAAGGTCTCCAAACTATGATACAAGGAGATACAAACGTAAACTTAAGTGCATTATTGACTTTTAAACTTTCAATGAGGTTAGATAAAAAACAATTGGGCAAATATGATAACTGTTAACACTGCTCCTGCACACTGCTGAAACTGAAATAAACTCCATAGACTTCACATCCGTGTAGACTGAACCAACTCTGTACTTATGGCTGAATAATTTTATGAAATTTCTATCTTAATATCCCCAGTTTGATGGACAGTTCTAATAATGGAGGCTTGAAAACTGAATTTTACAAATTCAGCAGGTTAAGATTTTATATAATACATTGTCCGGAATTATATTTAAACCAGTCATTTGTACTGTTTTTTTTTTTTTTTTTTAATGTTCTTGGGTCATATCGGCGTTTTGTTTCATTTGTAATCTGACTAATGTTAAGATCTTACGACCTTTGTTAAGATCTTTATGTTATAATTCGGATTTCCAGAACATGCAATCAAACCGGTTTTTACATAGGCCATTAGAAAAAGTATCAAAATACCGTTATCCGTGAGTCAGTTAAAAACAAATTGTATCATAGTTTGGAGACCTTTCTGTTGAAAATGTGTCAGAACATATACATGCACAGCGGGTTAACTTGAGTGCAGTTATTAGTTACCCGCACCCCAGAGCAGCCCATTGATTGGCTCATTTTTGCTAGGGTTTACATATTATGACGGCAGAGAAGGGAAAGCGATAGAAATTATTATATTCAGATTCTCGTTCATTGGTTCTTTTTTCTGGGGTTTCATATTGTGACAACAGGGAACGTGTTTTTATGTTTAACTATGATACAAAAGAGAAAGAACATCAAAATACTCTGCAATCTGATAAATACTCGGGGGCTACGCCCCCTCGTAAAAATCAGATAGCCTTGTGTTTCGATGCTCTATTACTTATTGCCTTGTTAGAAAAAAAAACTGGTAATGTGTAGAAATACGATTGCCTGTTAAATGGTTAAATCGAGTTCAAATGAACAATGTTTTTATTTAAGATTTTGTTTATTTCTAAATTCCCCGCCACACACATTGTTTAACTAATACCATAAATAAATAATACCTTACCAAGTCTGAATATCATGGTTAGGCGTAAGACTTTTCTCATTGTTAACTTAAAGATAAAAACCGTCTATTACACATAAGAGACCTAAAACGCTACTGTTTATTTGTAGATGCAATTGGGTTTACATCATCGTGCATATTTAGTAACGTAGAAATGTGCGAATAACGTATAAGTAACGCCGAATCTGTGCAACGCCATTGGCAAATTGTATACACAGTAAGTAAACAAAAAGATTTTATTCTAAATAAAATTTAAAGAAATGAATTAGCGCATACGGCTGCTACGTCATTATACTTTAACCAGCATTACATTTTTCAGGAATATGTTTACTTCATTAGATCAATCGTGAGAATGACAACCCGATAAACTTGTGTTTAATTGTGGAAATATGATAACTGTTAACACTGCTCCTGCACACTGCTGAAACTGAAATAAACTCCATAGACTTCACAACCGTGTAGACTGAACCAACTCTGTACTTATGGCTGAATCCTTGATGTAAAATATCCTAGATACGGATGGAAAATTAGTGATAAAACTGTGCTGCACTGAATAATAGTTTACTTCATTAGATCAATCGTGAGAATGACAACCCGATAAACTTGTGTTTCGTCAAATAAATATGTTCATTTAACGCATTTAGAACAATTTTTTATAGTCTTATACCCAAGACAAATATTTGTCAAACTACAAGTGTCGTATAAATAGAATCACAGTTATGAGAAGGGGTTAAATCGCATACATATACACAATACAAAATTTTATATATTTTATATAGAGACTATAAACAATATTGTCCCAATAATTTCTCAAATGGCTTGTGTAAGTTAATTACTCTATCTATGAACACACCCAAGTGTCTTGGACCCCTTTCGTTTTAGCGACTAAATTGCACAATTCTGCGTTACTTGCACATTCCTGCGTTACTGGATATACACGGTGACATGGTCCATTCTTTCAGTGCAGCACAGTTTCATCACAAATTTTCCATCAGTATCTAACTTAAAGGATATTTTATATCCAGGATTCAAGGGAAAGGAATTCGATTACTATTTACTTTTCAAGTACCTGTGGCCGAGTTAATTAACGTGTTACACTACATGTACAAGTACATTGTTGTAATGATAAAATGTTAAACAAGAGCTGTCGGTAGGACAGCATGCTCGACTATTGGTGCTCGATAGAAAATTTTACATTATCTATCAAGGCTCTTTTACTAAGTTAACGAAAGGGCCAATTTTCTCTTGAAATCTATGTTACAGTTATAGGCATTGGAGATGCCTATTATGCTCTCAAAGAAGAATTTTGTTTCAAAGCCAGATGTCAATGGAATATGAATATATCTAAGGTGGTATGCAAACTTCACGTCGAAAAAAATGGCATTCTTCTGTCGAAATATCTTCTCTTGTCTACAGATTGGGGTCATGATAAGTGCAAAGTTTCAAAGCTATATGTCAATGGACTTTTAAAATATTTGAAGTATTACAAAAACTTAACACAAGTGGTTACGCCGACGCTAATGCTCGGGTGACTAGGTTAGCTCCCATTCTTATCGAATAGTCGAGCTAAAAATGTTTAATACACGTCATTTATATGCATCTTTGGATGCGATTTCAATGAAACACAAACAATTACTGTTTTAAAGTACAATTTAATAATCTTTCATAAACAAACAAGTAATTTGAAAAAACAACAACTCCCCCATAACGTAAGCTGGCTTGGTTTTTTATCCAATAGCCGACACAGCAGCAATCTGAAACGATAAATAATATTTTAATTCCTTTTCTTTAGATAATACCAGCTATGACAAATAGGTTAGACGGTCCCAGAGAAAGCATTCATTATAGAATTATATTTTGTGAACGTTTCATATACAAATTCAGAATATACAAAAAGTAAAATATTTTATGCAATATATGTGCCCTATCGAGCAAATCTGTAAATTTGCCTTGACCTTTACAGTGTCAATACAACTAAAATAATCCAACAAAACCACAACATTTAAATAAAGAGTTACTAGTGATACATAGAAAATGAAGTTCAGGAAGCTTACAATTCCCATAGTGATGAAAATAAAACGCTTTGCTGGTGTATTTGCTCTCTGCATATCCATGTTTTGTTCACCTACAGATATGGAAGCGTCATTAAATGTCTTGGCACACAAGTCGTACAGTTCTCTCGACTCCTCAAACAGAAGTTTGGACATTTCTTCAACTGACCAATCACCTGTTACTGTAGATTCAGCTCTTAGACCTGAAAAATAATATTGTACAATTATTTCCTATCAAAACAAGTTGACATGCAAAGGTAGTTGCTTATTAGCAAAAGCATTCCTGCAAAAATGTTTGAAGCATTTTGTCTTAAATATCTATATCAACCAAATAAGAAACCAATAATCAAATAATATTTATATTCTATAAATGTATAGCATTTGGCTTGAATGTCATGAAATATAAAATTATTATGACAATATTCAAAGTTAATTAAGGAACGTTCTGCAAGAAATTATGAATATTTGTTTGCAATTTTGAAATAAGAAACTATAGCATGTCTATTACGTTATATTCCTACAATTGCAGATTTCAAGTGAAATTAAAAATACATGTTTCACTGCAGTTAATTTGATATATAGATCTATATTTCATATTTACAAGAACACGGCTTTACATTCTATTTTTTACAGGAAAAAGGGAAATCACTAAGGAAAATGTATGCCATACCCAGAACCGGGGAAGGATCAGAAATTTAATGAAATAGGTGGTTTACTGTATTCATAACCGACAGGTCAAACAAATTAGACTATAATGATTTACCTGGAGGGCTGTAATGCCTAGACCTCTTTGGACCAGATTTCATCATTTTCCTGACGGCTTCAACATTTTCCTTTTCAGCATAAAGGTTTGCGCCTACAGAAAGCAAAAATTTAATCCTCAAGTTTCAATAAAGTCATTGTAAATAACTACTGACTTTGTCCTCAAAGACAGTTATCAAAACGGATTTACATTTTATATTGGAAACCATATTTCCTTGCGGATATTTCTCTGAAAGCGACTCAAATAATGTTACTACATATATGAATAACTAGTAATTGTTTTAGCTTAAAATTCTCAAGCATTGTCGGGTATTGTGGTATAAATTAAAGATTTTTTAAATGTAGTTTATTCGATAGATAGAAAGAAATTACGCTTAGCTTCATGGCTAATGACTTAGAAACTATAACTGAAAATCAAAATATTAAACATTGGTATTTTGAGGTTAAACGTGCTTTTAAAGGTACATGTAGATTTAGATTTCGAATGAACTATTTAAGATCTAAACCAGGGCAAGTCCATTGCAGACCAGTTTAAAAATACATTTTAGATATTCGTAAAAATCATCTTACATTGTAACAGACCAAAGCTTTTTTCCGCAAACTCTTCTATCTTATCTTTTTCGCCTTCTTCCGACTCCTGAAAATGATCTAAAGTTTTTATAAGTGTCACATTTATTTAAAACATAACCTGAACGATGAAATGAAAGTTTGATCCTTATTTATGCATGTATGGCTTTTAATTAAGCAAATAATCAAGTCATGCCTTCATGTATATAGTCGAATATATGGCAGACTTTGACCTTGAGGCCGATTATTAAAATGCTTTAAGATCTACACTCATATCTAAGTTCATTTTGTTTTTCACATTCTGCTTTTGAAGACTTGTGTGCTTAGGTATTCCCTCGAACTCTATATATATAAAGCACATTCCATTTTTCATATTCTTTTCAAACTTCTTGTAAATGTTTCTCAATATTTCAAAAGATAACTTAGAAAAAAAACAATTTAATACTTAATTTACGAAACATACGAAATTATTCAAATAAATTTACTTAAAATACTCATTCTTTCAACTATATTTCAAGAGACTACTTACTGCATAATGTTTGGCTGCCTCAAATATACGTGGACAAGCAAACGATAGAAATTGTCTTTGGGCTGAAAGCAATGTAAGAAATAAATGAAGAAATGCGACATAACTGAAAACAAAAACTGTAAAATAACTTGAATAATGTTTATTACGTATTTTAAAGTTATAAAATAGTACTTTATGAATATGAATACGCCCTTAATTGACACTACGTATTTTTTCCTAGATACAGTAAAGGCTATTACATATTTTCGAAACCATATTACCTATTTAGCACGATTACCAGGAGCATAGTTACCTTCATTACGTTTAAGAGCCATTGCAGTTCATACTTAACATTTTTACTAAATGCGTTCTCCCTCAAATACACGCAAATACGCTTCAACGGATAGAATAATCTGTTGGGAGACATTTGAAAATGGGAACCAAAACTATTGAAGGTGTGGCCTCTTGCAAAAATACGCATTCATCCGTCGCTTGTGTACTGCTATATTTCAATTTATGAAATAACTGATAAGGTATAAAAGGTATATAATAAAAGGATAATTGTGTTGTAGTAGCTTTCTGAAGCTTTGTATTTTGCTACTTTTGTAGTAATGCACTAGTCCACTAGAATCTGTTCTGGTTGTTATTCATGTATAAAGATCTTTATTTCACATTGACCTTTACTGTTAATTTATTGTTATTTCAATAAAGAGATATTCCAGTTTCCAGGTGGAAACGGGAATGAGGCTACATAGAGTATTACATGCATTTGATAAGACAGTTTGGACTTTGGACTCTGGACTCTGCTGCAAATAGTATTTTACAAATGACGTAGTAATTACTTACGTTTGTTTGGTGACCTCCCTGCTACAAGTCGTGCTGTTACACATCTACCAACCAGACTTGAAACTGAAAAAGGGTAGGTATACAATTTAGCATTTTAAGAGTTTGGTATAGTGGCGTATGTACATAGTCATTTATCACTTATCACTATTGTTGCCGTTTTCAAGCTAATAAACATTACAAAAAAATCCAAAAATACCTTATGAAATAGTCATAATGCTGGGGTTATTATCATTTAACATTCATATGATAAGAATAAATTCATTTAATGAAAGGTTTTTAATTTCAATTGATTACACAGCATGCGATTTTGTACAATCTCTAAGCAAAGCTAGAAATGTGTCCATAGGAAACGGGTGCCCCTACACTCCACTGTTTTGTCAGTCTATGACTCTAGGTCAAATATTTTTTGGCTACATGTGCCACAAGTTGAAAGCTAAAAATCTTGTACTAAGTTAAATGGGCAAGAACTTTACAAATACTGAATAAATACACACAAGCTCACCCCCAAGGTGCATAAACACACCTGCTGACCAACGTTCTTGTAAACTTTCAGGCCTACAGATCAAGTCAAGGGCAATAACACTACCAATACTGGATAAATCCACATGCTCATCAACATTCCATTTAAATTTCACAACTCTAGGTTTAAATACATATTGAGCTACGCACGACATAAATTGAAAATTTGCAAATTTTCACTAAGTCAAGGGCAATGACTGACAAAACATTCAAAAGCGAAAACACAGATGCACAACTTCACATGCTGATCATTCCTGTAAAGTTTCATGACCCCATGCTACGTGCGATACAAGTTGAAAATTGCAAATTTTTACTAGTCAATGACAATAAGTAACAAAACAGAATAAATCTACAAGCGAAATCCCAGGTGCACAACTTCACATGCTGATCAAACATTCCTATAAAGTTTCATGACTAGGTCAAATACTTTGAGTTACATGCGACACAAGTTGAAATTTGTAAATTTTGCTTAGCCTAAAAATGCTAAATATATCCACACGAAAATAGCCACAATATATTTTAGAACCCGTTTATATATCAGATGATGCTTTTGTATGAAGTATTGAAGATCATTGGATTAAGTTGGAAAAAGATGTTACATTTTTGAGCGTCTGAAGGGTAAATTTTACAAGCATGTACTTTATTTAAGATAAACAAGATTATAAAAAGCAATGATCACTTGCTACTTGATTACTTTAAATTTGTAAAAACAAATAATTTTTTCCAAAATATTATATTATATGCAAACAAAATTGGGCAAAGGGGTGAGACACTTTTTGAAAACGGGACGGTAAACTTTTCTATTTGAAATAAAAACAATTGTTTTACTGTCTAGAAAAGATACAAAAAGCTGTTTCTATTAGTGACTATTGGGTCAAGAATTTTCGAGTACAAAAAATATCTAATGCGACATACAGGGTACTGGTACAACGTATCTTCCTTGTTATTTGAGAATGTAACTTACATTCCATCATTGCGTATGGCCAGTTTTCGTAATCTATTTCTGGAATTTCGACATCAGGAACCTCATCTGGGGAAGACGGGTAGGTCTCTGTGGGAATGGGCTCCTCGGTTGTTACTTCTCTAGACCCTGAAGTTTGGTTAAATATTGTAAACAAATTAAATACATACAATTCCTATATCTAATGAGATATAAATTCTGATGTTATAATTCTGAAAATATATACCGGTAAACTAAACAGACATTTAATAGAGGACATTTGTTTAGTTCAGTGTAAGATCGCAATATGTCTCACAGAGTGAGCACGAAAAGGTATATTTCACGGTGGCGCAGCCAGGAGTGAAATATGAACTTTTGGTTTTCGATTTTGCACGAAACAAATATTTTATTATATGCAAACACAGGAAATTGACATTCTATCAATAATTGAAAAAATATAAGCAAATAATTCAAAAATAACGGCAAATGTGCAAAAGCGCATGGAATGCCAGACAAAACATTTTGTTGACATTTTTGTAAATATTGTCAATTAATTATTATACAATGCTTTGATTTAAAATATCAGCGCTTGTAAAAGGAATTATTTTGTATTGTGTATCGAAATTGCTACACTAGTTTGTTGACATTGATTTTCCACGTGTGTAATTAGATAAAATGTGTATCAAGAGTGCAAAAGGCGTTGCACTTCTTGTGTTTTATTATAGTATAGAGGGGTATATATTTGCCGTTATTTTTTTAATTATTTGCTTATAGAATGTCAATTTCCTGTGATGCAAAGAAACGTTTTAAGACATTTTAATCTAACTGTAAATGAAAAGCGTGCCAAATACAACGGGTCGTCATGTACGACGTCATGTCCCCAGTAACGTGTACTCTGGTATTTCACTGAAACAATGCATCGGGTTTACATTCAAAGCGATGAAAGTATCAGTTTTATATTTTACCGATATATATCTATAAGACAACGAAAAGCATGTAATAGATAGGCAGACTTCCAATGATTCTCGATATAAAATACTTTGAATATGTTTGTGATATTTAAATACAATTTCTTTTTCATTTTGTTCTAGTAAAGTGCGGAATGATATTTAGTACTCGTAACTTCGGACTTAAAGCATTATAGTGAACCCAGTCAGCCTAAACCATTAAGAAACCTAAACTTTAGGCTTTTTCCCGGCGGACGGATAGGTCATTATAATGCCACGAGACGCTCGTGATGTGTACTATTTTTCTTTATTTTTGAACGCAAACCATTTTTTTCTCAGAACACATGCATGTTACCGCAAAGACTAAGTGATGAAATGTACAAGAATATCTAAAAGTATCGCGAGAAACAGAATACAACGTCCAGCTATAGTTTTATGTTCGTGCCTAAAGTATCCAAATAAAGAATTTTCACTTACCTGGAGGGAAACGGCGTCGTTGAAAATCCGTATTGCGGCTATCAACAACACACAAGAAGACCACGCACAAAGGAATGAAAACTTGAAGCTGCATTATTTCCTCTAATGTCGTCTGTCCAAGAAGAATAGTGAAGATGTTACTGCATGTGCCAGTATTTATACCCGTAGTTACACAAAATGAGGCCCGGACAAATAAAATTGTTAGCATTTCTTACCCCGGTTGTCACATTGTTTCAGTACATATGTAAAATATTACAAAATTACCTGAACTTCATTCCTAATTCGTACAATACAAAAGGTGCCTAAATATAACAAGGACAATGCAGACATTTTAAAGTAGGTTAACCAACTCAAATTGAACAAACACACTTAGATATTTACTGCAGTGATATTGTGTAATTGTGTAAGTATTATAGTACTATATCCTGATACAATCAGTGTTGTTTGTACAGTGTGGAGGACGTAAAAAGTCGCCCATACATTCAATTCTAGAAGTTACAACCTGATCATGGAAGGTCGCTCAGCAACTACTTTTTTTACAGCTATTGCCTACAAGATAGCTATTAATTCATGTTAATATTTAAGCTGTTGCAAGCGGGGATGGGCGGTAATTTGCACTTTCCAGTACCGTCCATAAACAGACTCAACCAAACCGAAACTACAACAATTTCAATAATTTTGCCGTCTTGGACTTTCTATAGGGAATCATTTTTTTTTATAATTAAGGTTAATACGTAAAACCAAATTGAAAAAACGAATTATCTTGTAGTTCTGGATATTTTGACGTATAACACAGTTATTCTTTATAATATAGCTATTGATTAATGTGAATATTTTTAAAAAAAACAAAAACAAGACAATTGTTACAGAAATAGCATCGATGAACCAGTGATGGGAATATAATTTGTAACAACAAGAATGTAGCTATTAAACTATATTCAATTGTATCCTGTACAAAGCAATTATAGCTCCGTCCCTAACCCCAGAGGAGCGCGGGAGTAGCGGAGGGAATGGCGTTTTACTCTGTTCATGTACAGTGATTAGTTGCACATTTTGGGGCATTCGCGAAAATAATAGAATATGTCGTGTTTTGCCATTAGGTTCAAAAACAATTTAAGCAAGGTTTGAACAGCATTTACGTATACATGTATACTCCATTGCAAGGCAGTTAAAGCAACGATAGTCTTATATAAATCAATACTGCTTTGGGCATTTCAAAAACACCCCAAAATATTTTAGGGATTTCCTATTGTATCAAATGTTGTGTGGAAAAGTACTCTATAAGTGGGGCAACTTGTGGAATTGTTGAAGAAGGATTTTAACATCTGAATATCCGTTTGTATGAAAAGTCTCAATTCAGTAACAAGCGCGTAATAAATTTAATTTAATAACGAAAACATCGGGAGGGCCTCTCTAGGCAAATCGATGTTTTATGAAGCACGAAATTCCCGTGCAAATTGAAAAACATGAAATTTAACCATGACATGTACATATCTATGGATGATTAACTCTGTAAATACTACATTGTACAAATTGCTAACGTTATTTTCAAAACATTTGTGACGATATAAATGAGCATGTATAGTCTGATTTTATTGACCTGTCAATTATGAATACATTTTAGCACTTATTTAAATATTCGATTCCACCTCGGTGCAGTCCGTATAGTTTACGAGAATAAATATAGAGTGTTAGAAAAAATCACACTAGCGTAATGTTTATGTTCTCATCACATCCGTAATAGCACAGTCGATTAAGTGATTATGTCATATATGAGAGGTCAGTGGTTCGATCCCTACTTTTGACATATTTTTTAGACCTTTTCATTCTTGAAGTATATTTTAATATAAATGGCTAAGTGCTTGCAAAGTTGTCTACACGGATATAAAACAAATTAGAAACACTGATTTGTCTCGTTTAGTATTGCATTTTACGGCACTAAAATGACATTAATTGATTTTAATCTGAATGAATTTTTTAAATATTGATTCTTAAACTATGTTATTTAAAAAAAGGGTTTAGTCTTTACCAAAATAAGTGCAAAACATATTTAAAAAAATGAGACAACATAAAAAAATAGTTATAAAATAGTTGTAAATAAGAAAATATATGGACATACGCGGTCTCGATCTTACAACACGTAGGACGTTTAGAAATAAAAATACTGAAGCTTACCCTATTGCGCTATGTAACACCGCACTTTGGGGTCAAACGCACTTTGGGGTCCGACCCCAAAGTGCGTTACGTACTTTGGGGTCCGACCCCAGAGTGCGTTACGCACTTTGGGGTCCAATTTCGACCCCAAAGTGCGTTAAACAGGTACATATGCATTTTTTAACATCAGGCAAACTACCGCACTTTGGGGTCATAGAAAATTAATGTTCATTATGTTTTAAATAATATATTGTAGTCAAAGCCAATGGTAAACAAAAAATCAAGGTATTAAATAGACACAAACATGTGCCCTGAATTATAGTAGAATCAATAGGGATTTAAATGGTCTTGATAAGTAAGTGAAGAACTTTCACCAAATAAATCACCAAATAAAGAATTTGTATCAATTATTAAGCTTAAAATATTTTTTTCTCAAATGTTCCATTTATTTTAAAAGAATGTACACCTTTCATTAATTTATTTACACATTTTATAGAAATATGATAGTCTTAGCATAGACAAAGGTATAAATTCTGGGAAATCTTAGTAAGACAATTCAGTAAAAAATGTGCCTAATAATATGTTGAAAGAGCCATTTATTTAGCTAAATGTGACATATAAGAAACTTGACTAGGTGTAGATGCGGCTTTAAGTAGTAGTCCGTACAGGCAGTACTAAAGATATCAACTGTTTAAGTAGTCGCACATTAAGAGCGGAATAATGTAAAATTCTCACTGGGGATATAGAGGGAATTGTGGGGTATCTACCCCCCAGGGTTAAAAATAACGTTTTAAAGGCCCATTATGCTTTTATTTGTTTTTCTTAAAAGCTTTTTTATTTTGATGTTCTTCTATATTATTAAAAAAATACACATTGGCCAATTACCTGAACCATCTTTTTATCTGTTGCTTTTTGGCAATGATGAGTACAGTTATAGTGAATTAGTATTTTATATGGAAGTCAAATACTACAGTGTTTTGACTTCTTTTATGACAAATGATTTCACATTTATCGCTACTTTATTAAGGTAACAAGCATCTTACATTTTTCTGATACCATTATTGTAACATTATAAAATTCATGTTTGCTCTTTCTAAAGAAGTATGTAAGATTTTCCATAAAAAAGCCTCTGGCGAACAGTTGTTACGGAGCTTACAAAAAACCCTTAAGTTTTGTTGATAAGCTTAATAATGTATTTGTAAAACTCACTATTTATAGTCCGATCGAAAAACTTGATGTTTCACCAGAACATTGCAATATAATTTATTTATAGTTCTTTGGAAAAATTATTAACTGAATTTTATTTCATTCCCAACATATTTAAAATGGGGCTCAATATGGCACCAAAAGTTATCAAGTAAATGACCGACAGAACGGGATATTTTTCGCAGTATCTTTTAATTCTAGGAAGACACAATTTCTGTTCTAGAGTATTTTGAACGGTGGCATAAAAGTGACATTTGTATTTTTTTGAATACTTTTTGTTTTGTTTTTTGTACATATTTTTTGTTTGTTTGTCGTACATTTTTTTTTTAGTTTTGAATATATACCTTTTTTTAGTTTTGCATACATATTCTTTTTTAGTTTGCATACATATTTTATTTTAGTTTTTTTTTGTACATATTTTATTTTTGTTTTTTCGTACATATTCTTACATGACGCCATTTGCAAAGTAGAGGTTTGGATAATTACACCATTTGTAAAAACACCATTTTCAAACACTTCGCCGTCTGTAAATTACATGCCATTTGCCATTTGCAAATACATTTGTACCAACGTTTTCATTTTTGGAGGTATCAAAAAAAATAGTATATATATAGTCCGCGGTAACACAAAGAAAGGTTTTGCATATGGTCTCGATGTGGTTAACATTTGTCACAAGGTGCCTTAAAATCCTTCATGGGGTTTCGGAGATAAGGAGCGGACATGGAACCCAAGTCTTTATCCTTTGACCTGTAGGTGTGACCCCGATCTTGAGCCGGCACACCTGGCATATAAGTTCTGCACATTATCTGGATGTGCTAAAGAATTCACCTAAGTTTTATAATTCTCAATTCTCAGGGAGTGGGGGGTTGAGTGGTGCATATTCATAGAATAATAACTGATCACCAATCAACAGCCCTTTCCAAATAGACACTAATATAATAGTATAATCATAAAAACAATAATTATATAAAATACATATAATATAAAAAAAATGGGCCGAAAAGGGTCGGCCGAAACCAGACTTGCCCGGCCGAAAACGACTGGGCTGATTCCAAAAATGGGCCGAAATGTGACCAAACCACTGTGCTAGTTTTATACTCAACTATGGGCTGTTATGAGATTTGAAGGCTGTTTTGACTGGCTAAAATATGTATGAAAAACAAAAATTAAACATGTACGAAAAACAAAAAAATTATATGAATGCAAGACTAAAAAAGTATGTATGCAAAACTGAAAAATATGTATGCAAAACTAAAATAAAATATGTATACAAAACTAAAAACAAAAAAATGCAAATGTCACCTTTATGCCATCGTAATTTTGTTATATGAACACAATTTTTAGATATTTCAAGTGGTAAAATTAATGAAACTTTTATCACTTAAGCATCATAAAGTATTGACCGCCATCTTGAACTCCATCCAAATATTCCAATATCGCAGATAGAAAATAAGTCAGTACTCAGTATTTAAGCAGAACTCAGATGACACCTTTAGACCTCTTGAACCCAAAGTGCGTTGATATGTAGCATATTAACGCACTTTGGGGTCAATTTCTCGATTTTGACCCCAAAGTGCGTTGGACCCCAAAGTGCGGTGCGAAGTTTAACGCACTTTGGGGTTGGACCCCAAAGTGCGTTTGACCCAAAAGTGCGGTGTTACAGCGCTATAGCAGTCCGTGTAATAATTTCGTAGAAAAATTGAATTTAAATACATCTTACTACTCGCATCTCACGAAATTTACCGATCATTTATCGAAGCTTAATATATTGTGTGCACTGACCGTGTAATCAGTATGCAATTGACAGGTTAATAAAATCAAACAATATTCATGTAAAATAGCATATAAAATGAAGATTTGCATGTACATGTATAAAGTTTGTTACGGACTGCCCAACACAGATTAAAAAGTGTAAATGATAAACTGGAAGAAGAAAATGCATAACAGATATACTAAATTATTCGACAAAATATATCAGAGGTTGTCGTTGTATTTTGTTATGATTACCGATCATTACGGTAAATTAAGATTCAATTTTGTTATATGCACCCTTTTCACATCACGTATATCGCTTAAATCTTTTATTGTTTTTTTTTTTTTAATAATATTTTTGTATGGAACACATTTGCTGCATTCTTATATCTGTCATTTTATTATATTTTGCTTCATTACGTTATATGTGTATTGGACGTTTTGTTAAACAGAGGATATTGAATGAGTGTAGTTAAATTCTAAATTTATTGAACGAGTTGAATAAAATCATATTATGTGAGCCTCTGGCGAGCATAATATTTTTTTATTCAACGAGTTCAATAAATTTAGTATTGAATCTACACCAACATTATATTCTTTTTATCACATATATGAAATAAGAACAGTAAACTGTTAAAATGAGTAATTTTCAATGACGCGCCTATAGTGTAACGCTAACATTAGCGCGCTTTAACGCTATGCTTCTATATAGCGCAAATGACGTCACGTCTAAGTGTTATTTCACTAGTGTAATATCGTTTTTATAACATGGCTTTATCACACTCCTGCGGCGCAGTTTATGTGATAATATACAGTTATTTCATATGTAATATGGAAACAGTCAAACTGTTGGCCCGAGGTGGAGGGGGTAGTGTTTTGAACTGTTGTCCAAGGCCGTAGGCCTTGGGCAACAGTTCAAAACACTATCCCGGACACCGAGGGACAACTGTTTGACTATTCCCAAATCATGTATGAAATAACTGTTTTATTACCTGATCAACTACTGTTTTAATAGTACTTGCAGAAGAAAAAAGGAACAAGAAAAGAGGGGTTTTTTTTTAATTTTTTAGAAATTAAACTTAATGCTTTAACTATGTCACGTCCCGTCTGGTTTATGATCAAGATCGATGGACGCTTCAAGTGGGAACCCTCTATGACGTCAATGGCGTCAGAGCTCGCGAGGGAAACAGTCGAAACTATTGACCGGTCAACAGTTCGTGAACGTGGACGTTTTAAGAATTTCAGAAAACAGTAAAAAAATACCAAATAACATTTATATTAGGTATCAGGTAATAAAAGAAAATATTTAGGGTTATTTCTATTTATTTCATGCTTTTCAGTGGTTTATAGTAATATACCAGTGAAATAAAAAAACTCATAATTTCACTGTTTAAAACAATGAAATTATCAATTTGATAATTTCACTGTTTTGAATTTAAGCCCGTTACGTTGTTTCAGTGAAATACCAGCGTACACAGTATTGGAAACCAAATTCTTGCATATCAGACTGGCGTTTCCGTGAGTTTTACCCATGCCGGAAATTTCATCTGGCATGGGGGGTGCCAGATGAGTCGCGTGCCAAACAACAGCGTCATTTTTGCGCGCTTTATGAATGAACCGCGTTAAAATGACGTCGTTTTAGAACGGAAATATGTGCTAAGGATGACGTCAGTTCGCCGTTGTTATTTAAGTTGTAAGTTCATACGCTATTATAAGAAAATAGTTATGGATGAAATGACTTTAATTTCCATGAATATATATCATATTGAGGTAAACCATTTAAGATATGAAATAATATGGCAGAATATGCAAGAAAAAATATCTAACATATGTTTGCGGTTCGGATCGGAATATCCGTCCCTCGGGAACCCGCCCATGGGCGGGTCCCCTCGGGACGGATATTCCGGTCCGAACCGCAACATATGACAGATATTATTATTAATGGCAAATGACGTTACGTTTTATTATTATTTGGCGCGTTTTAAGTGTTAGGTTATAAGAATCTTACACCGGCTGCCGGTACAGACCGGAATATCTAGCTCGAGGGTAACTGTTTACGTCGGTAACGAGGCTCTGCCGAGTTTTCGCTAAACAGTTACCCGAGAGCTAGATATTTGTTTGTACCGACAGCCGGTGTTTGATTCTTTTTCTTGCATATACATGTAACTTGTTAATTACTTTCGGAACAGAAATTATGAAAACTGATATTCACATTACGCACTTTTTTCTTATAGTAGCGTATGAACTTACAACTTCATTCATAACTGTAAAATGACGTCATCCAAAGAACGCAATTCATTCATAAAAGGCGCGCAGCAATGACGTCATTTAAAGCACGCGACTTGTCTTACATGGGGGGGGGGGTGTAAGACAGGGTTTTCTAGCACCGGTGTAAACGGTAGATAATCCTGTCTGATATGCAAGAATAAAATGTCTTTTTTAACGTTTCTCTGCATATATTAAAAAGAAAATTTGTTTAGTTCCGTGTAAGATCGGGTTATATTTCACCTCGTGAACACCAAAAGTTCATATTTCACTCATGGCTGCGCCACTCTTGAAATATACCTTTTGATGCTCACTCGGTGAAATATAATCCGATCTTACAATGAACTAAACACATATCCTCTATTTAATTTCTTGTGACATGTCAACTTTATAACGTTATGTGTCTTGAACATTGCGTTACGTTAACTTCCGGTGTCATATATTCACTTCACTATATTTTGTATATCACTAAGATGTATATCACTAAGTTAACTTTTGAAAATATTAATTTGTGTATATAAAAAATAATTGACTTAGTTCACACTAGATGAATTATGTCTTTTTTGCTGACGGGGTGGCCTTTAAAGGTTGAAGCATCAACATTTCAGCAATCGTTAATCCCTGCGTGATCGTAGGTTAAAACAAGCAAATTCGTTGAATTTATATCCCCCGCCGAGTACTGGTTATTATTAACACAACAACTGAAGACATAAGGCTTTATTTATATATTAATCATGGCATAAACTGTAATATTCTTTGAACTTGAAGCCTTGTACCTTCAAACAAGAAGAAGTTTTCACTATATACATATAAGGAAAATCTATGACCCCCTGGAGTGGGGCCAATTTTGACCCCAGGGCTAAAACTTGAACAATTTTGGTAGAGGACCTATAGGTTATATCATATACCAAATATCAAAGCTCTAGGCCTTGTACTTTCAGACAAGATTTTTTAATTTGGCATTTTTGAAACTCCTTTTCTGGCCCTGTGACCTACTTATGCAACAGACCAGAACCATTTGATCAACTTTTTGCAGGGGACCACCCTAGGATCATTCCTGTAAAGTTTGCTTGCTGTGCAGTCATTTGTTTCTGAGGAGATGTTGTTTAAAGAAATTGCTTACGACGCACGACGGACGGTGGGGGATCACAATAGCTCACCTAGATGTAAAAACATCTTAATCTCCAGACTTCATTGCCATTTTCAAGGCATCAAGAAGGGATCTCACAATTTTCAAATAAGTTGAAAATTGCAAAATTTTACTAAGTCAAGGGCAATAACTCTAAAAATAGTAAAAATATCCGGACGAAAATACCCAGGTGCACAACTACACATACTGATCAACATTCCTGAAAAGTTTTATGACTCTAGGTCAAATACTTTTTGAGTTACATGCGACACAAGTTGAAAATTACAAAATTTTACTAAGTCAAGGGCAATAACTCTAAAAATACTAAAAATATCCAGATGAAAATACCCAGGTGCACAACTTCACATGCTGATCAACATTCCCATAAAGTTTCGTTGAATTCCAGCCATTAGTTGCAGAGAACTACTCCGGAAACGAAATTCGGACGTTTTACTAAGTCAAGGGCAATAACTCTAAAAATACTAAAAATATCCAGACGAAAATACCCAGGTGCACAACTTCACATGCTGATCAACATTCCCATAAAGTTTCGTTGAATTCCAGCCATTAGTTGCAGAGAACTACTCCGGAAACGAAATTCGGACGTTTTACTAAGTCAAGGGCAATAACTCTAAAAATACTAAAAATATCCAGACGAAAATACCCAGGTGCACAACTTCACATGCTGATCAACATTCCCATAAGGTTTCGTTGAATTCCAGCCATTAGTTGCAGAGAACTACTCCGGAAACGAAATTCGGACGTTTTACTAAGTCAAGGGCAATAACTCTAAAAATACTAAAAATATCCAGACGAAAATACCCAGGTGCACAACTTCACATGCTGATCAACATTCCCATAAAGTTTCGTTGAATTCCAGCCATTAGTTGCAGAGAACTACTCCGGAAACGAAATTCGGACGTTTTACTAAGTCAAGGGCAATAACTCTAAAAATACTAAAAATATCCAGACGAAAATACCCAGGTGCACAACTTCACATGCTGATCAACATTCCCATAAAGTTTCGTTGAATTCCAGCCATTAGTTGCAGAGAACTACTCCGGAAACAAAATTCGGACGGACGGATGGACGGACGGACGGACGGACGGAAGGACGGACGGACAACGCCAAAACTATATCCCCCTCCCGATTTCATCGGCGGGGGATAATTACTGGAGTCTATGTATCTCTTAGCTAGCTCCAGAAGGTGAGGTGGTTTTGACCCCTGATGTTGCTTTTAGTTTGTAACATCCGAGGTTAGCCAAAATCATCTTTCCTATTTCGCACCATATGTGTTGCTGCACCATAAAATTTATTCTTGCATAGCAGACTGGCGTTTCCGTGAGTTTTACCCATGCCGGAAATTTCATCTCGCATGGGGGGTGCCAGATGAGTCGCGTGCCAAGCAACAACGTCATTTTAGCGCACTTTATGGATAAACCGCGTTAAAATGACGTCGTTTTAGAAGGGAAATATGTGCTAAGGATGACGTCATTTCGCCGTTGTTATTTAAGTTGTAAGTTCATACGCTATTGTAAGAAAATAGTTATGGATGAAATGACTTTGATTTCCATGAACATATATCATATTGAGGTTAATAGTCCGATTAAAGTAAAATTTAACGTCAAACAAATTGCAACACAAGCTTTTTTTACATTTTTAGTTTGTTATACACATCATATAAAACAGGTAAAAACCCTAAAAAATCTAACCATGGCAAACCAGTAAAAAAAGCAATTCAAATTTTGCATTTCTTTCGAGTTTTTATATGGCTCTGCATGTACACCATACACAGAGTTTTATACTGTAACCGGTGTCGAGGTTAACAAAAGTTATGAGGCCGCGCGATTTAAATATATCAAAATTAACATATTTACTACTTGGAGTTGGATTTAGAAGCTGTTGTGCAAAGTATGTATCAATTTTCATATTATATTTACTTGTTTTTACAACTTTTAGCCTCGAACATGCCCAAATACCAAATACAATGAATGAATTGTAATGGGTTTCCGCGTGTTTATAAATCAGCGTTTGTTGTTTAAAACAGTAAAGATTTTTTCAATTTTCATGAGATATAAATAATCATTAGCCTATATATTAACATTCCTTTTGATAATAAGATGTTTATGAAGTAGGAAAAATTTAAGTTTATCCACGGTAGCTTCAAAAATGTAACTACGGAAGCGTGTTTGGGTAAACAATGCACTAAATTTAGAATAACATGTTATTAATTTTAGAATCATAAATGCATTGATATTTATTAACAGATCATTAGTTTTTGGTATAAAAATCTCATTATGTATGATAGCTACTTTGTTTTCATTTTAATAAACATTTGGAAGATAAGAACTGAAAGGTAATACTGAGCGTGATACGAGTATATTATCTTTTTTTACATACTTGTGATATATGAGATGTCAGGGGAGTCAAAAACAGATACACAATTTACAATGATTATGTAATTTCAAAATTGTGATTCCTAAACATGGAGAAAACTTATTTAACAGTCACAGTAAGCAGTTCAAATTGTTGTTGAGCTCCATGGTTTAACCAGAGACATAGATAACATGCTATCTGTGTCTCTGGTTTAACTAAATTGTGCTACAAATATTGATGAGGAGCTATATTCGGAGTTAACTGTTGCTTTGCCAGTGGTAATAGATCCCCATTTTGAGTGTTAAATTTGTTGTACAATTTTTACAAACACATGAGATAAGATAGTTTCAATACAAACGTAATGAATCAGAGATGTTTGTGCTAATATGGATATATGTATGTCCATCTACACCGTCTGTCTATCTGTTAAAAAACATGTATATCTGCCTTTCTGTCCGTCTGGCTCTCTGAGATACTGTTA